TAATAGGCAACTTTTACATAGAGATTTTATGTTATCGATTTCTTTTCTATAAGGAAAAAAATATCGACAATTCTTTCTCCTTAATAAGTTGTTATCGTCTCTTAAATTGAACCGTTTTTTTAGTTAATTTTTTTATCGAGAATTTTCTCCATAAAGAAGCTGTCATCAACTATTTTCCTTCACATCTTTTCTCTACAATATGTTGTTATCGATAGTTGTCATCGACTTTTTCTCATAGGTTATTCTTTCTACAAAAGTCGTCAAATTTTCTCTATTCCTGATCACAGCTTAAATTTTTCCCTGGCTGTATTTGTTGTATTACAGACTCTGCAATATTTTAAAATATGTGCAAACTTTTAACAAAATGTAATCAAATTGTATGTCTGTGCTGTAAGTACTTTAGTCAAGTATGCCAATATAACAAAAAAAGACCATCTTCCAAGTAGCAAAATCCCAAATAAATGGGGGAAACTTAATGTCATTATTAAGGGTTCTCTATAATAGACGACATCGAAGGGATGTGGATTTTTTTAGCCAATCTTATTTTCCATTCACTAACATATGTGCAAATTCAAACGATTAAAATGGTTGTTGTGTGGGATTTTAAAAAAAAGTTTTTTTTATGGGATTTTCCCTCTCAAGGATAGTCTGGCAAACAGAAAGGGTCCATGACAATCAAAGGCGAGGGTGGTGGTTGTGTAGAGCATGCAATATTATAAAACTTAAGTATCTACCATTAAAAGCCTAATTAATATTGTCTTTATTGGAAGTTGCAGAGAAGAAGGAGAAGTAGAGATATAAAAAACGCCACACATATCATAAACTATAAATTCTGGGAAATTTGAAAATAACAACAAACGACACCATTGTCTTGTTTTGATTTTTTTTTGTTGCTGGTGGCAGTGGCGGCCAGTTATTAAGCTCAAACACTCTCTCGCACACGCACACACATGTTGAGAGTGACCATGTTTTTAGAATGCTGGCAGGGTTGATTTTAAAATATTTATAGGAAAAAGAGGCAAAATCAACGGCAAAAAAATTGCACAGAGCTTTTTGTTGTCATCCATTAAGGGGAATTCATTATTAAAAATCATTTCATCGAATCCGAGTCGGTCAATTCTAAGAATTTTGAGAAAAATGGCTTTGATAAAAACGGCCAACATCAGTAAATATGTACTCTCCACTGTGAAGGGAAAAAATGCTTGAGAAATTACCACTAAGCTATGCTAATTTTATTGTGATGGTGATAGTAGATGACGGATAAATTTCAAATGGAAATTAGTTGAATAGACAAAACATGATTTCCAAGAAAATTTTGGAATTGTGGGAATTTGAATGGGACTTCGCGTAGCTTCCTACATTAACTAGGAACTAAGGGAGTAGGGAGGCCTTTTTGTTAAAAAATTCGAGGAGATAATTGGAATCACATAAATTAAAATTTCCTATAGTGAAGGGTATAGAAAGTTCCTGTCGAACTTTAGGCCTTTGGAATAGTATGGAGGGTATATTAAGTTTGTCATTCCGTTTTAACACCTCGAAATATACATTTTAGACCCCACAATGTGCATATATCCTTGATCAGCATAAAATTTTATGTCGATTTGGCGATGTCCGTCCCTCTGTGGAAATCACTCCAGCCTCCGAACAAATTGAAGTAGATTATTAAAATTTTACTCAAATATATTTTATGTCTGTAGGACTTTTGGTATTGAAAATGGGTCATGTAGATCATCGTTTTGGCATAGCCCCCATATCCACGGTACCTCCCTTTTTCGGTATTTTGATGATTTAAGCGACATTATTCACCAGAATTATTTCCAATTTGGTGTTTGAAGTTCGTAGTGGATACAGAATGACAAACAGAAAATTGTCTGTGCATCTTCGTATATCCCCCATATAACGATACCTCCCGATATTCGGTATTTTGATGAATTTAGCGACATTCTTCGACGGATTTTTTTCAAATTTGGTATTTGAAGCTCGTGTAGGTCCAGGTGTAGTACCTGCCAATACTTGGTATTTGGTGATTTTAGCTACATTATTCACCGATTTTTTTTTATTCAAGTTTCGCATTTTAATATTGTAATGGCTTATGACAAAAGTTGTCTATGCAGGTCCATGTCGCCGTATTTACCCTAATATAACGGCTACATTCGGTATTTTTTAGATTTTAACAGAATTTTTATCGGATTTTATTTTTTGAAAATTTCCAAAATCGTTCCAAATGGTGGAGGGTATACAAAGATCGGCCCGACCGAACTTACAGCTATTTGACTTGTTTCTTAACAGGAAAATATTTTGAGACGCCAAACATCCTCCACCATTGTGGCAAACCTTTCCTCCGTTTCTTCTTTGAGATCGCAACTATGCAAAATTTTCTGCCAAATCTGTTGATGGCGATTTAATGGTCACTTGGACATAAAAGTATTTTGAAACATTTCGAAATTTGAATGCTTTTCATGTTTTGACAGCCAAACCAATTTGACAATTATGTGTGTGTATGTATGAATAGCTTTGATCCGAAAGCTGTCAAGCTAATTAG